CTCCATCTTTTAGGATGTCACTCAGTAAAGTGACCAGAGATCATGTTTAACTCTTGTGTTCTGACCTGTACCTCTTCTTGTGAAAAATCTAAAAAGTTTTCATATGTTTGAATGCATTCTAAGTGGGGTACACATGATAGCTATAGCCACCCAAAACTTAATGTGGATTTAATAGAGAGTTGTTGTTGTTATGTGCTGTCAAGTCAGAACCGACTCAGTGACCCCTCCTTGGGTTTCCGAGGTGGTATCACTGCGGAAGTAGATTGCCCAACCTTCCTTCCGAGGAGTAGCTGGTGGGTTTGAACCACCAGCCTTCTGGTTAGCAGTCGAGTGCCTTAGGCACTACGCTACAAAGTCCAACTACATCTTACCTATTAAATTTCACTGAAACCCCTTGGAACCAGAACAAATAATTGCTTGGTGCTAAGCATTACCTTTGCCTAAACGGGGTTTCTCAACTTTGGCATATTGACATTTTGGGTAACATAAGCCTTTGTTGTGAAAGGCTGTTTTGTGCATTGTAGGATGTTGAGCAGTTATCCTGGGCCTCTATTCATTCACTAGATACCAATAGCACAGCCCCCAGCTGTGATGACCAAAATTGTTGTTTGCTATTGAGTCGATTCCAATCCATAGCAACAGCATATGACAGAGCAGAACTGACCCATAGCATTTCCCAGGCTGTACATCTTTACTGAAACATATTGCCATATCCAGTGGAGCAGCTTATGGTTACAAATTGCCAACTTTGGGGTTAGCAACTGAATGCTTAACCTCTGTGCCACCAAACCAAAATCAAACTCACTGTCATCAAGTCGATTCCAACACGTAGCAACTCTATAGTACAGAGTAGAACTAACCCACAGGATTTCCAAGGCTGTAAATCTTTACAGAAACAAACTGCTTCATGTTTCTTCAATAAAGTGACTGGTGGGTTCAGACTATCAACCTTTTGGTTAGTAGCTGAACAGTTAATCTTTGTGCCACCTAGGTTCCTTAAATTGTCTCTAGACATCGCCAAACATTCCTTGGGAGGCTAAACTGCCCCTGATTGAGAACCACTGGCCTAAATGAATGTTTAATTTTGTGATAAATGTTGATAATAGATGACAATTGAAAAAGCATATTAAGTTTGCATAAAAGAATTATCAAGATCAATATTTAAGAACAGAGTAGATATTTTAATGAAAGCAATGGTCCTGCCATTCTATATTTCTCAAAATAATATATATTACAGAAGAAAAATAATTGTATATTTTAATAATTTGAGTAATTATACAGATTTTTGCATTTGAATAATAAAAGAATGGATTTCTTTGTGACTTTTTAAATTAACTTCAATGCTTTAAGGTACAAATTATGATGTGATACACATTCAACAACTGGAGTATGTTATGGTTAGGTGCCATCGTGTCGGTCCCGACCCATAGAGACCCTATATACAACAGGATGAAGCACTTCCCGTTCCTGCCCCATCCCCACAATGGTTGCCATGCTTGAGCCCATCATTGTGGTACTGTGTCAATTCATCTCGCTGATGGTCTTCCCCTTTTGCGCTGACCATGCACTTCACCAGCATGATATCCTCCTCCCAGAACTGGTCCTTTCTAATAACATGACCAAAGTATACTCACTTTAAAATGAACCAAAACCAAACCAAATTCACTGCCGTTGAGTCAGATCTGACTCATAGAGACCACTCCTTGGGTTTCCAAGGTGGTACCACTACAGAAGTAGATTGCCCAGACACTTAAAAAACCAAATCAAACCCATCACCATTGGGTGAATTCCAACATGTGGCAAACAGAGTACAACCGCCTCATAGGGTTTCCAAGGCTGAAAATGTTTACGAAAGCAGACCGCCACCACATCTTACTCCCTCAGACCAGGTTGTGGGTCAACTGCTAACCTTTCAGTTAGCAGCTAAGCACTTTAACCACTGTGCCACCACTGCTCCTGTAAGACATTAAACATCCAGTAAAACTAATGAAGCAACATTATTGATGACAGGTCTCTTATGAGATCTGAACCTGAAACCCTATCTTTACTATAGGTTCACAATCAACTCAATTTTCCAACATTTAAGAATATATGAAAGGAAGATTTCTGTAGCTATCTGTAGTAACCCTATATGGAGAATTTCACTTTTGAAGAATAACATGTGAGTCATTTTTCCCCTTATAAGGCTTTGAAAAAGTTGCATCCTGAGATGTTATAAAGAGAGTGAGTGAAACCTTTTTATTAGTAGTCAACAGCTTCAAATATTGGTTTTCATTTTTTAAAAATAATGAATTATAAAAACCTTTTTATAAAAAGTTAAAGGCACAGTGAAATCATTTTAGAACTCAAAATAATTCAGGCAATTAATTCAGAATTCAAAACAATTTAGGTGCCTGCACCTAATTTGTCCTGTAGGTGGCAAAATTATCATAAAAAGAGTCTGGGCAGGATTCAGAATTGCTGCATTAGGTAGGTGATTTAAAATTTCATTTAAAATGTTTTTTGTTTTCTTTTTTAAGTTTTTAATACATTTAAATATGCTTTCTCTATTATTCTGAATTAACCAAGATTTGCTGTCTAGTCACTACTATTGTCAGAAATATGTTTTATTTTTCAGGGACTAGATTATAAGTCTGATGATTACTTATGAAATGTTTCTCTCCTTTTGCTTTTATTGTCCAACAAGTTTGCTTTATTAGATGGTTCTTCTAAATTGGAGGAAGAGAGGCTATGAAACCGATAATCTGTTGTTAGTTTTTAGCAGTTGTGAAAAGCAAGCTTGAAACGATATCTGAAAGGAAAGATATGAGACCCTCTAGATTTCATTCGCCTTTACCTATTCCAATTATCAAGAATGGAAGAATAGTAAGCAAGACTTTTAAGAAATAATGGATACTTATTCTAGAAAATTCGGGGTACTATTATTATGATTACACTTATGTGTAAGGAAAAGAGTAGTTTAAAAATTAGTGGAATTAAAACATCAGCACTAGCCAAATAACACTTAATTGTCAGGAGCTGATATCACTAGATTTCTTTGCTTTCTTTCAAGATAGAAATATTAATCTATGTCCTGTATTCATCACCGAAGAGTCAGATGTATAAAATAACCAGGCACATCAAATAAGGGCTGTTGATAAGCATTAAATATATAATTACTTAAAGAACCAAGACTAGACAGGGTATATACAAAGGAGAGACTGTAGTATGTTACACCAGTATGTTCTAAAAATGGTGACATAGTACAACTATTTTAAAAATAGAGGGTTAATGGAAAGAGCAAATAAATTTTTTTTCAACTATTTCAATTATCCTAATGGGAGTAGTTATATTAGTATTGTTATTCTGAGGTTATTGCACGAAAAATGAAGATAAAGCAAATGAGTAATTGTGGCTGTTCTATCACCATTCCTTGATGATAGACAGATATGCTGAATTTTTAAAAAAATCAAATGGATAAGATTGAAATACAGTTTCTAGAGATACACACTTGGGTGATGCAATAATAAAGGAACTATTACTATGGAAGTCAGTGTTGCAGTTACATTTGTGGGGTTGGGAGTAACAATTGTAACTGTGACAGGACACACAGAGGACATGGAGGATAGCTGGCAGGGTTTTAAAAGGGTATTATCTCATTGTAATGTATTAAATTATACATTTTTGTGTTTTGTTTCCAGTATTTCTATTTTGCTTTATGATTTTTTTAAAAGGTTAAAACGAAAACAAAACAAAACAAAACAAAAAAACACGCTTAGGGTTTTCTACTAAAAACTAAGGATTTGGATACTTCTACATATAAATATTAGCTGATGGTTCTTAAGAAATTGCCTAAACTATAGAAATATTTTTAAATAATCTACAAGTGTTTGAAAAATATAATATGAAGTTCTTATGTGTGCACCTAGTTAAAAGTCAAAGAAGTAAGTATACATTCCTAACACAAAATTAATTTTGTTATAGTATTGGGTTAGACTTTGTTGACTTCCAATGTTTTCCTTTCCTAATTTCATAAGATATTATTCATGTTATTCTATTTCAAAATAGAACATGAGTATTGGAAGGTATTTTGTATTTCCTTGAGTGCCCACACTTTGTTTCATGCTCCATCTTTTTACATAGACCAAAAATTATCTTGTCCAATCATAAATTAATAAATTAATATGTAGCATTACATCCTTCCAATTTGCAAATAAAGATCCATATAAAGGCAGTTCCCAGGGTATGATCTGTTTCTAAGTGTATTTTTAAATCAAATTTGTAGATAAATTGGAACAGGTACATATGGTTCTTATTTAGCCACTCCTCGGAGGGAAGGTTGGGCAACCTACTTCCATAGTGATACTGCATCGGAAACCCAAGGAGGGGTCGCTATGAGTCGGGTCCGGCTCGATGGCACTGGGGTGGGGTTAGTGCAAGAAAGGAGATCTGGTGGCACAGTGCCTAAGGCATTTGACTGCTAACCACAAGGTTGGCGGTTTGACCAGGCAATCTACTTCCTTAAAGATTTACCACCTTGGAAACCCAATGGGGGTCACTATGAGTTGGAATCGACTTAATGGCAGTTGGTTTGGTTTTTGTAGCCTTTTCAGTGATTTAAAAGCTGCACTTGCAGCAAGTGAAGGTATTTGTGATGAAAAATTTGCTGCCATTAAGGGTTGGTGAGGGCAAATTTCCATAACATTAAAGGTCAAGTAGGCATTATCTGTAAACTAGACATTCACCTGGGAACTGCCTGTACCCAGATCTGTGTTCTATTCTGTATTATTAATGGTTGGAGACTTTCTTTTGTCATTAATTGTCAAAGAAACTGAAGAACATAAAATAGACTTAAACCATCAAAATGAATGCAGTTTTTAAATATTATAAACATGGATGAACATATAATTGTCTAGTACATTTTTGCCCATCAAACATTGACAATTTCCCTCCAATTATTCAAGCAGCATCTCAACAAATGGTGCAATTGTGTGGTCTCTTTCTCCTTCCTTTTAATATAATTATGTGCTATTTGAGTGATTCACATATTCAAGAAGTGACCGGTCTAAGACTCTTCGGATAAGAGCTTCCTCAATTATATTAAAATCCTATAATAAAGAAAATAATTGTAAATATAAAATCAGAGTCAGTAATGTTTCAAAAACTGAAAGATAAGGGTCAAGGCAATTCCTCACTTTACCGGAAACTAAAAAGTCTGTTACAAACTTCTGCACTTTTCTTTTGGGGTTTAGTGGATTTTCTATTTAATTTTTAAAAAACCAAACCCATAGCTATCAAGTCCATTCAGACTCATAGTATCCCTATGGGGCAGAGTAGAACTGCTCATAGGTTTCCAAGGCTGTAAATCTTTACAGAAGCAGACTGCCATATCTTCTCCCATGCAGTGGCTGGTGGGTTTGAACTGCTGACCTTTCAATAAGCAGCCAAGCACTTAACCACTGTGCCAGCAGGGCTCCTTTGATTTCATTTTACTGACTATCCATTAACTACTTATTGTGTAATAATACAATCTTGGTTTGGAATTTAAAGTTTTATCTGATCTAACTGGTAGTTTTTAATCAACATTACAAAATCTGGTCAGTGCTATTTGCCACATAAACACATAATAAGTATTATTAAATGTTATCTTGAAATTGCCTAAAATGAAAACAGTCAAAAGCATATGCAAATTCAGATTTAGCCCTTAGTATTTCATGTATATGAAATTAGCAATAAAATATAATAAACACAGCCATTAGTGATATTTTCCCCCCTTTATAGGTGTGGTAGTTAAGGTTATGTGTCAGCTTGGCTGGGCCTGGTCTTGAGTGGCTGGGCAGCTGGAAGTAGTTATTCCCCATGATGAGACTGGTAATCAACTCCATGGTGGAATCTACTAGAGCTGCTGAGTAGCTGCCTTAGGAATGTGGTCTGCTTCTAGTATAAAAGGAGAAGCTTCAGAAATGGTCTTGAGCTTTTGGCACGCTTGAATCCTGCAAGTAGCTGAGTGGTTGTTCAGCAGACTTCTGTGTTGTCTGCCGATCTTGGGACTGTTAATGGCCTTGAACTAGTGGCCTGCCATGTGGTTTGATCATTTTAGGACTGTGCCATTTTACTTGTGGACCTTGGGTTTGTCAGCCTCAGCAGTCAACAGCTGCCTGAAGGAAGTTGGAACTCCAGTGGGCCAGGAGCAGAAGGCAGAGCTAAAGCCCAAGGTTGAGGGGCTTTCCCCAGCCTCTAGAGCTGGCACTTTGAACTTGTACTTCTATCCTCCTAAACAGTAAGAGAATATATCCCTGTTTGTTAAAGCTTCCCATTTGTGGTATCTTTTGATAGAACAGCACTAGAGGACCAAAGCAATAGGCAATACCCCTTTGCTTTTTAGGTATCAAGGAAGGCACAAAGGAGCACTTGCCTGCTAACCAGAAGGCTGGTGGTTCAAACCAGCCACTCCTCAGAAGGGAGGTTGGGCAATCTACTTCCATAGTGATACTGCCTCGGAAACCCAAGGAGGGGTCGCTATGAGGTGGAAACGACTCTACAGCTGTAGGTTTGTTTTGTTTGGTTTATGAAGGCGCAAACTGAAAGGTGCTTAGGGGCAATGTATTAATCTCACATGAGGGTGAAGCAGAACAAAGGTAATGTGAACTTTTCCTTGCCTTTATCATTTCTAAAAATGAGAAATATAGCCATAAAGATAAAATTATTCATACTATATTTAATTTTCTTCTACCTTAAAATAAATTGTTTATTAAACAGTTTTGGTCATGAGTTTGTAGTTCTTGATGTTAGCTGATGGGTATATGGAGGTTCATTCTACTACTCTATCTACATTTGTAAATGGTTAAAATTTTTTCATAATTAATTTTGTTTGAGTTATAATGGTTCAAAAAAAAAGTAGTTTTGTGTTTTATAAAATTTAAATAAAAAATGACAAGGTCCGTCTGTGCTACTATCCTAAGGTCATATCTGTTATTAGTCATTCACTGTACTATAAAAGCAACTGGTCACAGAACAAATGCTCTTAGTCATTTTATCACTGATGTGATTTCATCTCAGCTATATAAGTTTTCTATTTCATAAATGTATATATATAGGGAGAGGTTAGATTAGAAATTTAAACAATAATTTAAAAGCTAAATCTGGCTAGTTATAGAATGGCTGAATATCTAGATAACAAAGCAAATAATTCCATCCAGGGCAGATAACTATTTTGATATTAATAATAAAATTCATCAAACACTGAATTTTTATGATTTCCTAATCAATACTTAACACTTCAGTTAAATGAATATATTTTTTTCAACTAGAAATTTTATTCACTTGAATTAAAAAGGTAAATTCAACACAAACAGCATGAAAACATAATATACACATAAGATAATATACTTACTATGAAATCGTCATAAAACAAAGTGTGATTGACTTGCAAATGTCTTATTAAACTGCCATTGAAGCTGCCTGCATTCTCATTGGGTATTAATCGGCAAAGTGGACAGAACTGGAAATAAACAAGATCAAGAGCTCAAGAAAGAATTTGAAGCCATGACAATGTCTGAATTTTAAAAAGTAAGTAACCATTCAACAGGTGAATTTTAACTTGGTGAATCCATTGGCCGTGCCTCAGTGTGTGTTAAAATTGCATAAATATTAAAGGAACATTAAACAAATAAATTACATTTATTTTTTCACATGAACTTCTTGCCAGTATATATATATATGAAAGTATAGCTATTTGCTTCATACTTAAGAATTTATTACTTGAACAATATTACAGTTAGTAGATGTACCATGATTTACTTACCTATCTGCCTACCTGTATATTTGTTTTTTTTTCTTTTGTCATTTTGAGAATGTTATAAAATAGAATTACATAGTATTTAACCTTTCGAGATTGGCTTTTTTTCACTCAGTAATGACCTTGACACTCATTCAAATTGTGTGCATTGATAGTTTGTACCTTTTTATTGATGGTATGAATGTACCAGTTTTTTTTTATCCATTCACCCTTTAAAGAACATTAAGATTATTTCCAATTTTTGGCTATTATAAATAAACCTGCTGTAAACATTTGTGTACAGACCTTTGCTGAATGTAAGTTTTCATTTCTCTAGGACAAATTCCTAAAGGTATGAGTCCTGGGCTACATGATAATTTTAAGAAACAACTGAACTATTTTCCGGAGCAGCTGTACCATTTTACATCCCAGTGGCAATATGTGAAAGATCCAGATTTTCCTCATCCTTGTCAACATTTGGTACTATCAATTTTTTCCTTTACTTTTTAGGCCACTCTGATAGTAGTTGTTCATCATGGTTTTAATTTACACTTTCTTAATGGCTAATACAAATGGCCCATTCTTTCTAATAAATACTACTTTTATAACATTTTAACCTAGGTTTGTTGTTTTTTAAAATTCTTTCTCTTTGTGTTTCTGTATTTTAAAAAACTCAAGATGTAAGGTCATTACTGAGTGCCAAGTATGTGTTAAGCATTCAACTAGACAATATTTTCATTTAATCCTCTAAAAAAAATCCAGCAGATTAATTATTAACATGAGCTCAATTTCAGAGAAGGAAATTGTTAGTTAAATTTACACAGCTATTAGTAGCAGATTTAGAATCCAGGTCTCTTAATGGGCAATCCAATGTTCTTTTCATATTATAACAGTGTCCAGTTCACCAGCTTATATGATAATATTTTTCTTACTTTAAACTTAAATGGGATTTTTGTAATTCTTTTCTTTCTTATTGTTTTCTGGGGGTTCCATTTTCATTGTGCTCAATTTCCAGAAACAAGGGTCTATTTTTGAATTTTGTTACTCTGTCTTATTTTTAATAAAATTACATTTTAATTATTATTGCTTTATAATTATTTATGATTTTCTAATGTTCTAGTCAAGGAGCTCTGATGGCACAGTGGTTCAGCATTTGGCTGCTAACCATGAGGTTCGTGGTTTGAACCCATCAGCTGCTCTCTAGAAGAAAGATGAGGCAGTCTGCTTCCATAAAGATTTATAGCCTTGGAAAATCCTATGGGGCTCTGTACTTTAAAGTTGGAATCGACTTGATGGCAATGAGTTTGGGTTTAATGCTCTAGTCATCTCAGTTAACTGGTGACATTGCATATTCCAAGATAGCACTTAATCCTTGAAGAGACTACTTATAGTAATGCATGTAGAATTATGGCTGGGAAATATTTTAGCATCATTAGTTATAGAGATGAGTTCATCCAACACTCTTTATGGGCCCTTACTATATGCTGGGCATTTGGAATATGGAGATTAGAAAGATAGTTATGTTGCATGGCATTTGAAGTAAGACAACATGGGGTTCAAGTCCTAGCACCAGCTCTTACTAGCTATTGGCCACAGGCATGTAAGTTTCCTCTTCTGTGATATAGGGATGATACCACCTAACTCGTGGAGTTATTGTGCTATTTAGAGATTTTTATCCAACTATCCAAGTATAAAATGGCTAAGTAAATGATGTTGTATACATTCTGGTTTACTTCATAACAATACAAAAATTAAAATTATAAAAGCCACACTGTACAGTAGAACCAAAATGCCATGTTGGAAATAAAAAAGAGAACTACCAATGTATCTAGGAAATGATGAGCAGTCTATATGTAATATGCAAGGACGTGGCTAAAGATTAAGACTATACTAAAATAAAACAATGGATTGATTAATGAAGGTGAATGACTTTCTACTTTTCATTTCTAGTGTATTGTTATGATGACACTATTTGCATTACTTAAAACTTTTTTTTTTTTAACTTAGGATGTGACCACAGTTAATATATTAAAGTTAGCTCTTAATTATGCATTTTGGGTATTCTTAGTTGATTTCTCAGAAGGAAGGTTGGGCAATCAACTTCCGTAGTGATACTGCCTCGGAAACCCAAGGAGGGGCCGCTATGAGTCGGATCTGACTTGATGGCACATAACAACAACAACAAGAAACTGATTTCTTTAAGACATAATATTGTTTAATTTCATAAGTGAAACAATGATTACACAATAATTTTTATGAGTTTTAACTCAGTATTGTCACATTTTATTAATAGCCTTGACATAAATTATCTTTTATTATAATACATCTATATATAGTTTAGGAGCTCTGGTAGCATAGTCCCTAAGGCACTTGACTGCTAACCAGAAGGCTGGCTGTTCAAACCCATCAGCCATTCCTTGGAAGGAAGGTAGGGCAATCTACTTACGTAGTGATATTGCCTCGGAAACCCAAGAGTCAGGTCTGACTCTACGGCACATAACAACAACAACAACATATACAGTTTAAAAAATAGATTTTCTAATATTTTCTGAATTTGTTGTTGTTGTTGTTATGTGCCGTCGAGTCAAACCCGACTTATAGCGACCCCTCCTTGGGTTTCCGAGGCAGTATCACTACGGAAGTAGGATTGCCCAACCTTCCTTCCGAGGAGTGGCTGGTGGGTTTGAACCGCCAGCCGTCTGGTTAGCAGGCAAGTGTCTTAGCCACTATGCTAAAATGTATAGTAACAAAAATTCTTACCACAGGTCTCCTTTCTGATCTGTGATGAGTAATACAATGATCCAGCAAGCTGTCTTCATCCAATTCTCTCTCACAAAATGGACACACACATCTGGAAATAACATAGAATAAAATGTAATGAAAGTTACCGGCAATTAGATAGTAATCATTTAACTAGAGGTAAAGAATACTATGTAGATGAATCTACTTTCTTTCTAGTCCTAGTTCTTCCTTAGATTTGATATTATCTTTCCTATCCCATTAATGGTTTTGGTGCCTAGATTATTTTTCTCATGAGAACTGTAAATTCTCCTTCATAGGAGAATTCTTCTTCATAGAAGAAGCCCTGATGGCACGGTGGTTAAGCACTTTGCTGCTAACTGAAATGTTGGTAGTTCAAACCCACTAGCCGCTCCTGGGAGAAAGATGTGGTAGTTAGCCTCTAAAGATTATAGCCTTGGGGAATCTACGGAGCAGTTCTACACTGTCCTGTAGGGTTGCAATGAGTCAGATTTGACTCAATGGCGATGTGTTTTCATTGTCCTTCACAGGGGCAGAGCAGAGAAACAGTTCAAGTACAGTCAAAGCACATGGAGCTTTTTATTTTCTTTGGAGAGACCAACAATTAACTGAGAAACTGAGGATCATACCAGGCCAGCTATCTCTGAGTTTGTTTTTGTTTTCCCTTTCTTGATTCAGGTGACATCTGAATTAGGTTTTATCTGTTCTCTAACTCCACTAGCATATATATCTAAATATTTAGGTTCACATTGTTAGTATCCAGGGAAGAATGAAAATAAGAATGATTAATTTCAGGCTCACAACTAACCAACAGCTATCTTGGTAAATCCTTACATGCATGTAGAAGCCTTTATCTCTTATATCTGTACTGTCTAATACATAGCCATTAGCCATATGTGTCTGTGCACATGAAATGTGGTTAGCCCAAATTGTGATGTGCTGGAAGGGGAAAATGCGTAATGAATTCTAAAAGCTTAATATGAAAATGACTCAATGGCACAATGGCACATAACAACAGCAATATGAAAAAAAGAACATAAAAATATCTCAATCATTTTTAAACTGATGATATGGTAACATTTTGACTATACTAAGTTAAATAAAATTAATTTAAACTGTTTTTTTTAATGTGGCTATTAGAATATTTTAAATTACCTATGTGACCCACATTACATATTTAATGGACAGTGTTGCTTTAAATTCCTAGGAACAATATGGAATTTTGAAATGTTTTGTTTACTTTCTCTTACAGATATAACTTCATGCTCCCCAAGACTTGTACTCCGAACGAGGTCCCTGAATAAGAATTAAAAAATTTTGAATGATGGGGTAAACCCTTCAATAAAGGAAAGATTTAATAAAAATGCAAATATTAGTCTGTCTTTAAGATTGATTAATCAACAACCTATTCTGTTTTGTTATTTTCATTCTTATTATATTACTTCCGTAGTGATATTGCCTCGGAAACCCAAGGAGCAGTTGCTATGAGTCGGGTCCTACTCAACGGCACATAACAACAACAACAACGTTATATTCCAAGCAGCAGAATAAATTAAGATTTAAATTAGCTTCCTTGTATTTTTAAGTTTTCATAGAACTATGAAATTTACAAGCAAACCCACATACTTAATACTGTCATCCTTTATCAATCCATTTGTTATCTTTCCTTCTTACTGGTCCTTGTGGCCAATCTAACAGAATCCACACTCTGCTTGTAACTAAAATCTTCTCCTAAATTTTATAACATCATATATGAAACTAATCCTATAATGAACAGCAGGTATAATCTCAAAACAATGTCTATATACCTAAAAGTCTGAGCTAGTTTTATAAATACCATAGACATCAAAATTTTAGTATATAAAAAGGAATGGGATGATCATTTAGATTTTTAGGTTAGAAATTTTACACTATATTTTTAGTATATTTTCTTAAAATATAACAGCTAACATCTTTCTTCAGAAAAGAGAAAGAAATTTCACTAATACTGAGTACTACTACTGGGTTTATAAGCAGATTTAATGGTTTCAAAGCTATTAGCCTACACAGAACATAAATCATTTCTTTAGTGGGTGCAGAATATAAACTTTATAATTATACTGATACAGATAAATTACCCTTATGATAAGGATAGTAAGGACTCAGATTATTTTTTCTCTTTTTCTTTAAAGAAAATAATAGTTAATGATCAATATCCTCCATTTACCTACTAACAACCTTCATCCCTTACCCAGCCTCCGACATATGATTTCCTACCAGAAAAGAATAGGATTCAGGACTCTGTTCTAAGCTTGTTCTTTCCTTGTTAAAATATACACTGAGATGCCACTTCCTACCAATAAGATGAGAGGGAATAAGCTGGGGAACTAAGTGATGATGATGGAAGAGTAAATATGAATTACTCCTTAACTGTAATCTACTTCAAGAGTCCAAAAGTCAGAGTCTAGCAGAAATGGAACAGTTCTGCATTCTATTTTTGGATCCTCCTTAACACAAACTTGTCTGAGGAAGTTGCTCCAATCTCTCCAGTGTTTTGTCGGTTCCCTCCACACAAAGTTTTTAAAGTAGAATAAAATTCCTTGACAATGATTATTATTAACAGGCATTATGGTTAAAGCCTAAACATAACTACATACATATTTTCATAATAAAAATGTTCAACTTTATACCTAATTAAATTCCTTACAGAGATATCAAAGTTAGGATTAAATTGTATTATATTGAAACAAACCTTGTCTCCCCAAGTTCTTGTAGTGGTCCATACTTATCTATATATTTCTGACAAGTCCTTATGTGTGCCCTCATTTTGCTGAGGCAAACCTGTATAAAAGCAAATTCAAAATAAACTCACTGTTGAAAAGGGGCTGAGTGAAGTCTCGCAGTGCAGCTCTGTTACTTTCACTATTTCAAATCACATCACACTGTGGGGTTAGTTGATTAAAAGGATGCATTCATGACAACAGTACTTAAAGGTGAGGTATTACCAAGAATAATACCATTTTCAAATTTGCCCAATACTCAGAAGACCCAAATGTTAAGTTCTTGAACTTTGTTCTTCTAAAGAGCATATATTTTTAAAAGTAGAAAAATACATTCAAACTTATTTTTTGGATGCCATTACCTACATGGGTAATGGAAATAAGGAAGTGAGAAAGAGAAAGGGAATAGGAAAAAGAGAGGAAGACAAAAGAAAGAAGGGATAGAAAGGAAAGCAGAGATAAAAGAGAGTAAAGTTTTAAACACAGTCCTATCCTCATAGAACTTAAATCTGGTGAGGATAACTGACATTAAACCATAAAGACATAATTACGGGTGGTAATAAGTGATATAAAGGAAAAAGCACAGGGTGCTAAGATAAAGTATAACAGGACACAGTATACTTAAGAGTCCCAATAAGAGAAAACGTAAGACAGCTTTTGCAGTCCATTTTCATCAGTGCAGAATAGAGATCTTGTTCCTCCTGGTGTAAATTCAGAGATCCTAACCATGAGGGACCTGTGCAAACATGCATTCTACTAAATATTTCATTAGAAATGTCGATAAGATCTTGTGCTAAAGGAAGCTTTGTTCAGTTGTGGTAAGATGGCAGCTCCACTCGGCTTCATTTTGCACAAGGTACCAAAGTTAAACCTCAAATATGAAATCTACCTATCAAAGAAACGGAAATCATTGTTTAACAAAAGACAAAAAGGAAAAACAAGCTGAAATGTTAAAAAAAAAAAATGCTTGCTTTAACCCATCTAAAAGATGTAGGTAGCGGTCTTAAAACAGATGTGTTTTGCAACCTTTAACATCTAACTTTGTACATTAGCATGATCTCATCTCTTCACAACTTCCACTGAGTTTCTTTCTTTCTCTTTGTATTTCTTAAACAACAAAGAGAAGTACTCCTTATGTAAATTAGCTATTTGGGGATTATATGTTGACAAATGATTGATAAATCCATAATGTATACTCTATACATAAATTACGTAAAACACTGTAAGAGATAGCAGAAGCAAAGTAAGCCATTGTATCTCCTCTAAAAGTATTTACAATCTAATAGAGGCAAAAGATGTGTACACAAGTAGATAAGAGACTGATACAGGGTGCTGGAATACAAAGGTCAAGCCTCTCATGGTACGGGATCTGGTCTGAAGCCTGAAAAATAGGAGATAGGATCTAAAATGACTACAGAAGGAAGCCCACTGCCATCAAGTCAATTCTGACTCAAAGCGACCCCCACTGGGTTTCTGAGATGGTAAATCTTTACAAGATTAGATTGCCTGTCTTCCTTCCGAGGAGGAGTGGCTGGTGGGTTTGAACTGCCCACCTTCTGGTTAGCAGTCAAATGCCTTAGGCACTGTGCCACCAGAGCTCCTTACAGAAGGTATGAGCAGCAAAAAATAAAGAAAAAAATCAAAGTCCTTCTGACTAATCAGAAATGGAAGTTAAAAAAAAGAAGGGGATTTCCATTCAGGAAATTGATAAAATGTTCCTGTTTCTAACAAAGACACCAAAGGTGGGATAAAAGATAAACTGGGTGATAGAATAACATGATGAGTTTGATGTTGTACATAAATTTTATATGATAACAAAATATCCAAGTAGAAAAAGCAGTCATCTCTTATTAAGAATAAAAAAGCTACTGATTTTGACCTTTTGCTGTGTTGCAGACACTGTCTAAAAGCCTTATATAGTATTATTTACCTTTACAAACACATTGTGATGTGAATACTATCTTTTTCCTCATTTTACAAAAAAGTAAACAAAAATTTAGATTACTAACTTGCCCAAAACAATAATGGGAAATGAGAGGATTTGTTTTGACCCTAGAGTATCTGATTCCAAAGACTGTGCATACATTCTGTAGTCAGGTAGTTATGAATAGATTACTGAGTCTTATATAGAGTATTCAAAAATATATCGAGTACTTACTGTGTGCCAATCATTTTTTTCCTAGTTAAAAAAAAAAGACAAACACAGTCCTATCCTCATAGAACTTCAATGTTGTGAAGATAACTGACATTAAACCATAAAAACATAATAATGAATGGTAATAAGTGATATAAAAGAAAAGGCACAGGGTGCTAAGATAAAGTATAACAGAACTATAATTTAGATTAACGGCCAAAAATGGCCAAGAAACGTTCTCTAAAGAAATGGAGATCCTTAGTATCACTCTTTTCAGTATCCTTTTGGTCTCCAGATCAGTATATCTAAATACTCTCTTAGCATATCCCTCTGGCAGTTCAAACTCAACATATCCAGAACTTAAGTTTTGGGATTCCTCTCCAGATCTGTTCCCATATTAGCATCCTTACCTACCCATGCCAGAAACCCAGGAGGCATCTTTGACCCTTCACTCTCACTCACCCTCACATCCAGTCAATTCCAAAATCCCAACAATTCTACCTCCCAAATAGATCTCGAAGCAACCTCTTACTCCACATTGAAGCTATCACCCTAATCTACTTCTTGTCTGACTCACCATAAGTCACCTAACTGGCTTCACCAGTTCTACTCTTAACCCCCTTCCAAACTGTTCTCTACACAGATGCTAGACTAATATCTTAAAAATACAAAGTACATCAGTGCACACTAAAGCTTATCTTTCTATGGCATACTATTATATTTAGGATAAAAATCAAAGTATCTTTTCCATGGCCTCCAGGACCTCACATGATCTGAAGATGTTAATATCACATCAGGTCAAAGCATAGATCAACTGGTGAGCTGTATAACAATTTTTCAGGGGCCTGGTAACCATAAGCCTAGGCAAGGTCACATACCAGTGTGTTGCACTCTGTACAGTTCCGGTACTCTGACTTCATTCTCTTGGCTACATCAGTTGCTGGAACTCCTTCTGAAGAAAGATAGGCTCTGCAATAAGGACAGGTCCACTTACTGTTCTTTAGACTGGTGGCAATACAGGAACGGCAGAACCTACCCAAAACAGAACCAAGAGTACATCACTTTCCTGAAAAGGTACAAGGAGCCACCACTAGGTGTTTCTGTAAACGGTATTTTAATGACATCTGGTACACTATGAGGTATAGTACCAAATTAAAGGCCCACTTGGAACCTACATTTCCCAGAGATGATCTCACCTTACCAGTATGACTATTTGGGGATCATGCATTCTCACCATATGCACTGCAGGCATTTCATTAACCAAAAGTAAAAATAGAAAGAAAATAGCATTCTTGTAAACAGATTAGGAGCTTTAATGGTACAGTGCTTAAGGCATTTGGCTGCTAACCAAAAGGTAGGTGGTTCAAACCCACCAGCCGATCCATGGAAGAAAGATGAGGCAGTCTGCTTCCGTAAAGATTTTCTGCCTTGGAAACCCAATGGGAGTCACTGAGTCGGAATCGATTTGATGGAAGTGAGTTTGGTGTTTTCCTTTATAAACAGATTTAAAACTACGTGCCAAAAGCCATCCATTGTGTGCTTCCTCTTCCTTAATTCTATTTTACTTCAAGATTTTCTGGCAAATAGGTCTTTGTTCTATGGGATATTTTGTGTTCAATAAGAAAACAGCAGCAGCTTGAGGAGGTAAAAATACCAGACATTATAATTTTTTATAAAATAATTTTAAAGCCATCCTCAGATACAGAAAATTAACCAACCAAAATTACTATTGGTAAGAATATCTTCCAAGTCAAACTTATTCTCTGGTTTATTTAAAGATGATCATAATAAAATCTAAACAAAATCAACACAAGTCACAGAAAATCTTCACCAATTTATATCAGCTTTTGAAAGATAAGGACACCAAAACCAAAACCAAACTCATTGTCATCAAGTCAGTCCTGACTCATAGGGACACCTCTTCCTTGGGTCTCTGAGGCAGTATCACTACAGAAGTAGATTGCCCAATCTTCCTTCTGAGGAGTGGCTGGTGGGTTTGAACCACCAGCTTTCTGGCTAGCAGTCAAATGCCTTAGGCACTACGTCACCAGAGATCCTAGACAGTAAGTATAGGTGCTCTGGTGGCATAGTGCCTAAGCCATTTGACTGCTAACCAGAAGGTCAAACCCACCAGCCACTCCACGGAAGGAAGACTGGGCAATCTATTTCCATAAAGATCTACTGCCTCAGTAACCCAAAGGGGATTGCTATGAAGCGGAATCAAGTCAATGGCAGTGAGTATTTTTTTTATACATAGTGTAATGGAATTGATGTGTTTTCCCAAAATGTGGGTCAATTTGACAGGGCCATGATTCTCAGTGGCTTGGCAGTTATGTAATAGTATAATCACCCCCTTGCTGTGATCTGCCAATCATTTCTAAGGGAATTAGTGCCAGATACAACACCCTTACTTATGCCATAGCCCTGATAGATATAAGGGTTTCCCTAGGTGTGGCCTGCATCACCATTTATTTTATAAGAGATAAAAGGAGAGAGAGGGGCTCTGGTAGCGTAGTGCTTAAGGCACTTGACTGCTAACCAGAAGGTCAAACCCACCAGCCACTCCTTGGAAGGAAGACAGGGCAATCTACTTCCATAGTGATAATGCCTTGGAAACCCAAGGAGGGGTCCATCTCAAGGGCACATAACAACAACAAAAGGAGAGAGAAGCTAGCAGAGAATGAGGGACCTGACTACCACCAGGAAAGAGCTGAGAGCAGAGTACATCCTTCCACCCAGGGTCCCTGCACTGGGAACCTCCTAGACCCAGGGGAAGATAGATGCCAAGACACACAGAAATCTCCAAGGGATGCTGGGCCCACAGATGCTGAAAGGAGGCAATGAATTTCCCCCAAAGTTGACAGCGCTGTCCCTAGGGCTGTTGTTGTTGTTGTTATGTGCTATCGAGTCGGCCCCAACTCATAGCAACCCTTCCTTGGGTTTCCGAGGCGATATCACTACAGAAGTAGGATTGCCCCCAACCTTCCTCCCGAGGAGTGGCTGATGGGTTTGAACCGCCAGACGTCTGGTTAGCAGGCAAGTGTCTTAGCCACTAGTCCCTAGGGCTAGTACCCTGAATTTGGACTTTCAGCCTCCTAAACTGTGAGAGAATAAATTTGTTTGTTGAAGCCATCCATTTGTGATATTTCTGTTATAGCAGCACTATATAATTAACACACCTACTGAAAGGAGCCCTGTGGCGAAACAGTTGAGTGCTTGGCTGCTAATCAAAAGGCTGGTGGTTTGAACCTACCCAGAGGTTCCTGTGGGAGAAAGACCTGGCAATCTGCTCCTGTAAAGATTATAAGAAAGAAAGCCCTGTGGGACAGTTCTACTGTCACTGGGGTCACTGTGAGTTGGACTTGACAGCTCCTAACAACATACATACTTAAAAGTTTATATACCATGTGTATACATTTCAATGAATTTTGACAACTGAACAGTAACCAACACCCATAAAATTAAAAAAAAACAGGCCAGTCCCCAGAATCTCCCCTTCTTTTCCCTTCCAATCACAATTCTAATCCTTCCAGGGTTAGATTTCTGACTTCTAATAGTACAGATCCTCCAAACTCACTTTTGCCGAGTCGGATCTGACTCATAGTGACCTCTCCTTGCGTTTCCGAGGCGGTATTACTATGGAAATAGATCACCCAACCCTCCTTCCGAGGAGTGGTTAGGGAGTTTGAAACGTCAGCCTTCTGGTTAGCAGACAAATGCCTCAGGCTCTATGCTACCAGAGCTCCTAATAGTATAGATTTTGTTGTTATGTGCTGTGGAGTCCGACCTGCCTCATAGCTACCCCTCCTTGGGTTTCCGAGGCAGTATCACTACAGAAGTAGACTGCCCAACCTTCCTCCGGAGGAGTGGCTGGCGGGTTTTAGGTTTGTCTATTTTAATACTTCATATAAATGGAGTCATATGGTATGTGTTTTTGTGTCTGCCTTCTTTAGCTCAATACTGATCATGAGATTCATCCATATGGTTATGTGTAGTTGAGACTGTTCATTCTCATTTTATAAAGTCTGTTGTGTGAACACAAAACTATTATTTACCATACCGTTGTTGATTGGCATTGGAGTAGTGCTTAAATGCTTTCTGATGTTAAAGTTTAATAACAAGCAAGCATAGCTATTTTCCAAACTGTTCGTGTTATTTTTTTTCCTTTAACTCCTGATCACATTAGCCATAATCTAAAAAGTACTCTCTTCTGCATGTTATAAAATTTTTATAAGCACCCAGAGGATGCTTATGTTTGTATAGTACTTGAGGCATCTACTTGATGTTTATGCCTATCCAGCGTATATTCCCCCTTGGTCTTGAAATTGCATCCTGATTTTGTTCTGTAGGAACTACCTCTCACATGAGATGCAAGCCTTTGTGGGACCTCAATAAGGTGTCCACCATCCCTTGGCTGAAGGCATGAACACTTTATGTAGGCTAGGCCAAGCAGACCCTTGCCCTGAAGTTGATCCTAAACGGAGTGGCATACTGATTTAGCAGCAACTTGACAGGACTATGCTTCTCTTTATTTAGAACCCCAGATATACTTCAGTTCTTACCCTTTTTCTTTGATTCTGTGAGATTTTCTATTTATTTCCTACATAGTCCCTTTTTGCTTAAACTAGCCAGTTTCTCTAATTGCAAAGGAAGAATGCTAGTTATTTGTTGTTTTGTAACTTTCTACTCTGATATAATTTCAAATGTCATACACTGGTTTTTACAAAAGGATTTACACTTCCATATACCATAATTTATTTAAGAAACCTCCTATGAAAGATCATTAGTCCCATTTATAGATGAAGAAACTGAGGTACATAGTGGTTAAGTTACTTCTCCAAAGGTCACATATATGTACAGAAATTATCTGAACTTGGTTGTATTTAAGCTGGAATTTTCTGACCCAATGTTCAATAACCTTTCCTTCCACCACTACTACTGCCTCTAGTTGAAAAGAGCAACACTTAAGAATCAAGAGACCTAAGTCCTCTGGTATATTTTACTTCTCTGTGCCTTAGCTAAGGAGGTCTGGTAGCATAGTGCCTAAGGCACTTAACTGCTAACCAGAAGGCTGGTGGTTTAAACCCACCAGCACTCCTCGGAAGGAAGGTTGGGCAATCTACTTCCGTAATGATACTGCCTTGGAAACCCAAGCAGGGGCCGCTATGAGTCAGGTCAGACTCCACGGCACGTAACAACAACAACATGCCTTAGCTAAGGAGCTCTGGTGGTGTAGGGCCTCGGAAGGAAGACTGGGCAATCTATTTCTGTAGAGATACCACCTTAGAAACCCAAAAAGGTGTTGTTATGAGTTGGATCTGTCTCAAGGGCAGTGAGTTTTTTTTTGTTTTTTGTTTTTTTTTTTGGTTTATGCCTTCGCTAAGGAGCACTGGTGACACAGTGGTTAATTAAGTGCTCAGCTGTTAACTGAAAGGTCAGCAATTTGAGCCCACCACCACTCTGTGGGAGAAAATTGAGGAAGTCCCCTTCTGTAAAGATTTACAGCTTTGGAAACCCTATGGGGCAATTCTAGGTCATTATAGAGTCAGAGTCAAGGACAACGGGATGCCTCTGCTGATTGTAAGTTCTAAGCTCATCTGTACTTGCATTTCCCTGAGTCCCTAAGAACTGATTTTCAAAGTGTAGTCTGGAAGGGTATTAACGCAACAATGCAATGCACTGCCATTGAGTCCAATCCGACTCATAGTGACCCCTCCTTGGGTTTACAAGGTAGTATCACTACGGAAGTAGATTGCCCAACCTTCCTTCCAAGGAGTGACTGGTGGGTTTGAACCGCCAGCCTTCTGGTTAGCAGTCAAATGCCTTAGGCGCTAAGCCACCAGAGCTCCTGGAAGGGTATTAGAAATGGTCCAAATGCTCAACTCACAATTAACATCTCTAATGTGTCTTCTAATAATATTTCTAATATAGCACTTTGATTTTGACATGAATTATCTGTTTACGTAATTTAGGAGCACCTAACAACAACAATGAGGTTTATAAAGGGTCTTCGGCAGGAAAGAGGCATCATA